AACAAACAAACAAACAAAATGAAAACCCCAGAAACCAACAGACTGAGAAAGACTTTGGGAATGTGAAAGGACATTCTGCAGTGATTCAGAGCACATTGATATTCCTTCACTTGTGATTGTGAGTCTTGGACATTTAGCTCACTGTTAAATTGTGTGTGCTGAGAATCTAGAAGTGGAGTTGCCTTCACTTTTTGCGGTGGCTTTGATACCTATGCTGGGTCTGGCACAGTACATATCAAGATGTCAAGAACTGAGCCCTTCTTTTAAGGAACTCATTTTGCCAGGAATGAAAAAATAACAGAAAATAACTTTCAAAGTGAACCGTGTTTCTGAGGGTGAGATTCTGTTTTCTGGGAGGATTATAATGATCATAGAGAGGAAATGGCATAGACATACATTTGGGAGGAACAATGAGAGCAGTGTTTTTTCTAGCCAAATGGAATACCATGAGATAAAGCTGGAAATTTTATGGTGCTGGAGATTGAAGAAGAGGAATTATGCCCAGATATTAAAGGAAAGAGTGTGAGAATTGGAAGGAGTGAGATTGAACACCAGAGAGAAAACAGGATGTGAAAGGCCAAGTTAAGGTAATTGGACTTTGGCTCATAAGACACAGCAGAGAGCCATTTAAAGTTTTAAAGTGAGAGAGTGACATGTCTTGGCAGGTGACCCTGAAGTTACAGCAGGGAAAAATAATCTATGGCTGAGTATTGTACAGAGAGGCACAAAGAGAAACACTCTTCCTGTTGGCCTTCTCTCTTCAACCCAGTGGACAAGACATGAATATCTTTTTTAGAAAAAGAGTTTTGTAAACATGAAATGTCAAAAATAGCAGGTATAATGTGAATAGGCATTGAAATCATGACATGGAGCAGTTAGTCACTTCATACTATTGTATTTGTGAATGGTGTCTGATTACATGAGCTATGAAGTGGAAAGCAAGTGTGTCCAATCTGTCTATCCAACAACCCCATATTTTGCATAGCCACAAATTAGTTGATGTATCTTTTTTGTTACAGTTCAGAACCTAATGTTTAAGGAGGGAATCCTGTATGTTTATTTTTCAGGAAAACGGATGTGTGTGGGAGAGGGCTTGGCTCGCATGGAGCTGTTTCTGTTTTTGACCACCATTCTACAGAATTTTAACCTGAAATCCTTGGTCGATCCAAAGGACATTGAAACCACCCCAACTGCCAATACATTTGGCCATGTGCCACCTTTGTACAAGCTCCGTTTTATTCCTGTCTGAAGAGTGGCACAATGCTTGGGTACTGCTGTGCTGTCACCTGAAGCTTTTCCTCAGTAGGTGTATAATCCATCTCCTTCCCATCATCATGGGCACTTTCCCTCAGCTCTCCTTTTACATTTTGCCAATCCCTCATAATCTAGTGAACACCCTTGTTAAGGAAAATATTATGATCACTACACAAATATATCTATAATCTTCTAGACTCTGTAACAATTGTATTCAACACCAACAGTGCTAATACACACCTTATGCCAGGTCGTTACAATGATCTCATTATTAAACAACAAAATGATTATTATGACAATTCAGAGCCATTCCCCACTGTTGTGAATAAAAAGTATAGTTAATTGCCTTGGTGGTATGTCTGAGTCTCCTTTTCTTGCACATAATATAGGTAAGAAATTAGTCTCAGTAGTCATGCTGTTGCTCAAAATCTTCTGCATAAAAGGGGCCTAAGAAAAAGGCAGAAAAGCTGTATTGGTGGAGTGTCTCTTAGAGTTATGAGAGATTTGGATTTGAAAGACAGAAACTACATCCTGGAGCAGAGTAAGGAAACAATGAGGGAGTCAGCTGTAGGGAGGGTAAACATTGGGTGTTAGTATAGATATCTCATGCCTCTGCTTTGGTGATAATCTCAAAAGAAAATAAAGATGTGGAATATTCTTTTTGCTTTGAGTTTCCAATTTAAAGTGAGAATTTAAGTATGCATATTGCTAATAAGGTGTTCTGAGTATTATTCTTCTCTCCCTAAACAACAAAGTTCTTGGAAACTCCCACAAAGTCCTATTATTTTTCTACTTTTTATCACATTGCTTTACACTCAACGTAAGTGTTATGGAAGATGTGGCCTGGGCTACATAGTGAGTTCCCGGTCAGTCTCAACTACATAGTGAGACCCTGTCTCAAAAAAAAAAAAAAAAAAAAAAAAGGCTTTTTGGGAGGAGTATGGAAAGACAGTCTGACTGGAAAATCCCTAGAATTCAATAAGGTAGGTGCACTCCAATTGAAGTATTGAGATGTTATTGGAAAGTGGACTTGAATTAACTTTAAAATATAGTATGATTCTGAGGAAAAAGCTAAAAAATTTAGGAGAAAATGTATGAGATTTTCAAGATACTGAAGAAAAAAATGCCAAACAAGAACATTGTACCGAAAAAGCCATTATTTCACAATGAAGATAAGATAAAGACATTCCCAGACATACATATGCTCAGAAAATATATTTCTTCAGATGTACTCTACATAAAATGCTAAAGGAAGTACTTCAAATTATTATTGTTATTTTTTCAAAAACATATGCAATTTATTGGATAGATTTAAAATCAACAATCAATTTCAGGCACTTCTTGTATACAAATTGTGGGAATTTTCTGCCAAAGAATAGCATATCTAGCAGGCAAAAGATGAAAATTTAAGCTTTAGTGTTTATTTATTTCAGATAAACTGGATCTGGATCATCCAGGAATTATTATTTTCTCAATGAGTGTTTTGGTACTTTTTAAGTAAACAGCACAGTTACACTTATCATTGGGATCTTGTACTCTTACATGAAAGATCTTGGTTGTCATTTTTGACCCATGCACCTGCCTTCCCTTCACCTCCTGCCCCTCCCCTATTTGCAAAGGCTTTGTTTCCATTTTTTCCTTTTCTCATATTTTTCCTTTTCCCTTATTTCCTTTCCCCTAACCTTCCCACTTCCCCTACACCTTTAGCCATTTTCTTCCTATGTCACATTGTCACTTTTACAATTTGGATCTTATTTACACTTTTAGTTTTTCACACCAGAGAAACTATTCAGTATTTACATGACTGTGTCTTATTTATTTCACTTAATACTATGGCCTCATGAATGAAACTAGTTTCACATTCATTATGGCTAAGTTCTCCTCCATTTTATAGATAAACCACATCTCCTTTATCCAGTTTCCAACTGATGGGAAACTGATGGCTGTTTCCAAGTTTTAGCTACTACAAACTGTGCCGCTATAAACATTGGTGAACATATATCACTGTGGTATGATTCTTTTAATTCTGTTGGAAAGATACCCAGCAATGGGATAGCTGGGTCAAATGGAACCTCTAGCCCAAGTTCTTTGAGCTATCTCCATATTGATTTTGTCAGTGGTTGCACCTGTCTGTGCTTTCACCAGCAATGGAGAAGGGTTCCTTTCTCCCCACAACCCACCAATATCTGTTATTGGTTGATTTCTTGATAGCAACAATTCTGGTGTGAGGTGGAATCTCAGTGTTGTTTTCATCTGCATCTCTCACAGTGATATGGAACATTTTTTCATATATTTATTTGCTGCTTTTACTTGTTTATCTGAGGAATGTCTATTCATTTCAGATGCCCATTTTTGAATCAGGTCTTTGAATTTGGGGGGCCTGATTTTTTTGAGTTCTTTATATATTCTAAATAATAGTCCTTTGAGGAGAAGCTGGTAAAAAATGTTTCCCACATTGTAGGTTATCTCTTAGCTCTATTGGTGGTTTCTTTTGCAGTTCAGATTTTAATAAGATGAGATCCCAGTTGTTGATTCTTTGTGCTAATTCCTTTGCTACTGAGGATTTCTTCATAAAGCCTTTTCCTATGCCAATGTCTTCAAGAGTTCTGCCTATCTTCCAGCAAATTTAGTGTTTCTTTTTTACTATTTAGATTTTTAATCCACTTGGAGTTTAGTTTAATGCATGGTGAAACATAAGGGTCTAGTTTTAATCTTTGGCATGTTGAAATCCAGTTCTTCCAACACCATTTACTAAAGAGGCTGTCTTTCCTTCACTGAGGATGTTGGCTCCTTTAGCAAATATGAGGTAGCTGAGTACATCTGGGGTTGTTTCTGTATCTTGCAATCTATTCCACTGATCCTTGGGTCCTTTTCTTTGCCAGTACCATGCTGTTTTTATCACAGTGGCTTTGCAGTGTAGTTTCAAGGTGGGGATTGTGATATCCCTTGCCATGTCTCTGTGGCCTAGAATTGCTTTTGTGATTCTAGGTCTCTTCTGGTTCCAAATGAGTTTTTGGATTATTTTCTCTAGTTGTGTGGAATATACTGCTAGAACTTTAATCAGAATTGCACTGAATCTGTACAGCAGTTTTGGTAGTATGGCCATTTTCACTATGTTTATTCTTCCTACCCAGGAGCAGGGGATATCTTTCCATTTTTTAATATCCTTCTTGATCTCTTTTTTCAGAGTGCTGTAGTTTTCAGTGCAGAGGTCCTTTGCTTCTTTTGTTAGCTTGATTCCAAGACTTTTTTTTTTTTTGGATGCAATTGTGAAAGGAATTGTTTCCCTAATTTCTCTCTCAGTGAGTCTGTTATTTGTGTACAAGAGGGCTATTGACTTTTGAGAATTCACTTTGTGTCCAGCTACTCTGCTAAAACTGTAAATTAAGTCTAAACATATTTTGGTAGAGGTTTTTAAAATCTTCTATGTAGAGTTTCATATCATCAGCAAATAATGACAGTTTAACTTCTTCCTTTCCTATCTTTATTGCTTTAATTTCTTTCTCTTGTCTAATTGCTATGGCTAATGTTTCCAGAACTATATTGAACAAGAGTGGTGATAGTAGGCATCCTTGTCTTGTTCCTGATTTTAACATGAAGATTTTCAGTTTGGGGTCATTTAATATGATGTTGGGTGTTGGTTTTTCATAGATAGTCTTTATCAGGTTGAGATAAAGACCATCTATTCCAATTTTCTGTAGGGTTTTTATCATGAATGGGTGTCAAATTTTGTCAAATGCCTTTTCTGTATCTATTGAGAAGATCATATGGTTTTTGTCCTTGACTCTGTCAATATAGTGTATTACATTTATTGATTTGTGTATGTTGAACCATCTTTGCAACCCTGGAATAAACCTGACTTGGTTAGGATGTGTGATCTTCTTGATTACCCTCTGTATTCTGTTTGCAAGTATCTTATTGAAGATTTTTACATATCTATGTTCATTAGTGAGATTGACATCTAACTCCCTTTTTTGGTGGGGTCTTTGCCTGGTTTGGTAATCAAAGTAACACTTGCTTCCAGGAATGAATGTGGAAGTATTGCTTCCATTTCACTTTCAATGAAAGTTTTAAGAGTAGTGGCAGTAGTTCTTCTCTAAATGTCTTGTAAAATTTAGTATTGAAACCATCAGGACCTGGGCTTTTCTTCTTTGGTAAAGTTTTAATTACATTTTCAATTTCACTGATTGTATTTGGGGTGTTTAGAAATTTTTCATCTTCTTCGTTCAACTTTGGTAATTCATAAGTATCAAGAAATCTGCCCATTTCTTCTGTATTTTCCATTTTATTAGAGGACAGGTTTTCAAAGTAAGTATTGACAGTCCACTGGATTTCCACTGGATCTGTTGTGACTTCACCTTTTTCATTCCTAATTGCTTGTATCTGAGCCTCTTTTGTTTTCCTTTTTTTGATAAGGTTGGCTAAGGGTTTATGGTTTTTATTTATTCTTTTGAAAAACCAACTCTTTGGCTTTTTGTGTGTCATTCTCTTAGTCTCCATTGTATTGATTTTTACTCTGATTTTTATAATTTCCTCCATTGTATGACATTTAGGTTTTTCTTGCTCTTCTTTCTCTAGGAGCCTAAGATTCATCATTAGGTTGTTTATTGGAGCTTGCTCTCTTTTCCTAGTGTGGGAATTCACTGCTATGAATTTTTCAGTTAGAACTGCTTTCACTGTGTCTCATAGATTTCTGTGTGTTATATTGGTATTATTGTTTATTTGGAAAAACTGATGAATTTCTTCTTTAATTTTGTCTGTGACCCATTGACTGTTCAGGAGAGTGTTGTTTAATTTCCATGTGTTTATGAAGTTCTTATGGTGTCTTATGCTCTTGGTCTCCAGCTTAATTGCACTATGATCTGATAATATACATGGGATAACTTCAATTCCTTTGCATTTATTTAAACCTGTTCTATGAGCTAGTATGTGGTCTATTTTGGAGAATGACCCATGTGGAGCTGAAAAGAATTTATATTCTGTTCTTGTGGGGTGGAACACTCTGTAGACATCTATTAAGTGTCATTGTTCAAAAGCTTGGTTGAGTTCTAGTATTTCATTGTTGCTTTTTTGTCTACATGATTTGTCATTTTGTGTAGTGGGGTATTTAGGTCCCCCAATACAATTATATTAGTGCTTGTTTGGTTTTTCATGTCCCTTAACATTTGTTTTATATAGTTGGGGGCATTAATATTTCATGCATATATATTTATGACTGTCATCTCTTCTTTGATTGTTCCCTCTACAAGGACGTAATGACCTTTTTTTGTCTCTCTTAATTATTTTTGCTTTGAAATTTACTTTGTCT